AGTATATAAGTCTACTGCTATTGCTATTGCTAGTGTCTCATTAACCTCAATGTTCTCCAGGCGTAAACTTATGAGGAGTTATGTCATGGAAACAGTAATATCAATATCACTTAATTTATTTCTTTTTTACAGTTAGGCCATTTATTGTGCAAAATAAGTTTCACATTTTATTCACAGTGGGAGAATCATGAAAGAATGTACTCACCTTCCAAGTATTGCACAGTATTTGATCTATCTGCCACCTTCCAGTTTTTTGGGTCGAAATCAGTGGGGGGATTCAAATAATTTAACAACCGATTCTCTGCCCTAATGACCTGCTGGGTAGGTGTGGCTCGGGGATCATGTGACCGTGGGGGCATGGCCAATTCAATGTCACTCACGCCGATGGGCGCTTCATCTTAGCTGTTACAATATAATAAGGGTTAACCAGAGAGGCAGTTTCTGTAGGCAGAGCAATAAAGATGAGGCTAAAAACAACACCAGAATGTTTCCTTTCTGCCTTCCTTACAGGATTAGCCCTGTAAAGTGGAAAAAAAATAAGATTTTTTCCAACAACCGGTTCTCCCGAATAGGTGTGAACTGGCTGAATCCCACCACTGGTCGAAATCTTTGTATTTAACAGATATTGCCTACAGGTAATAGAATTGCAGTTAGCCTTCTTTAATCACCTCACATATCCTTTTCATAACAAGTATTGTGTTTCATCTGAAAATGGCATAGTTTATTTCTATTGAATGGCAAATATGCCTGAAAATGTTACCTGAATCTGTCTAAACTGAAGAAAGTTGCATTTTATCCCCCCTTTTTAAATTAAGAAGCTTAGATTCCAAATTCCTTTTGGAAATCTTTGTATTTAACAGATATTGACAAGCATCACGGTCTCCTGGTTTCTCGTCCGATGCCTTAACAAACTGGTGTTTTAATACATCATCTTGTAATATTTTATGAATAGGACTACATTGAAGATGGAAGACCCAGCACGTACAGGTCGATGGTTAGTAACAGCTCTAAGGAGATGTCTGCCTTCACAGATTTTCCATATCCAGAAAACTTCCCATCCTTTTTACCTCATCACCAACTTCTGGAATATTTGAGGATGTATACAAAACATTTTGATCTCCAGAAATATATTCAAGTAAAGGTAAGCTTTAAAAGTATTGGCTGAATGTTCACATTGAAAAAAGTAGTACATTTATTTTTAAAGGTTTTGGTTCAGTGACACTCCAACCCAGAGTTTGCCTCTCAAAGTGTAAACTTTCCAGAGCACATATATGATTTGGCTTATTCACTTGTTCACTTGTGTTCATATTAGTACATTCATCTATTTCTAACCTAAAAAGTTGCCTATGAACTCAAAGCCAGATGTATTTGCAAGCTCAGTCCTTTTTGCATCATCACACATGATTATTTTCTGGAAATGTTTCAGACAAAAGTAATCAACATAACAAAGTGTCCTGATTTCTCTAACACCGGCCAATGGGAAGTTGTTACAGAGGCCAATGGGAAGCAG